GTGTATAAGAGACAGCTGCATTACTGTTACCCTCCTCTATTGCAGCATTTGTATTCTGGATTGAGTCTTTACACTGAGAGTTGCAGGCTGGCTGTGTCTGCTGGGAAGAATTCAATTCCGAGTGTGACCTTGTTGTCTTTACTAGCAGGTGAAGCATGTCAGGCTGTCCTTGAGCCACCCTGGGCGAGCAGGAGCTAGCCAAGGGGGTTAGGCGTTCGGGGTGAGACTCACAAGGTAGATGCAGGGAGAGGAGCTGGTGGTTGCTCATCGGGGTGGGGGGGTCGATTCCTCTCCAGGGCAGGTCAACGTCCCAGATAACACAAGTGAGCAAGAAAAATTGGTTGTTTTCGCAAGGCTGTCAAGTTTGTGAGCTTGATGGATTGTGGGGGGAAGGTAAAAAAGAAAAAACTTTTTTCTTTCTTTTCTTAGTCTTATTGCTTTCCAGCAGTTGTTGCCGTTGTTTGTCCTAACACAGCAACAATAGCAAAATCCCTTTGGAGGCTGAGTGACAGCTGAAGGCACTGCGAGCGCAGCAAATGGTTTTCTGCTTTGGTATCGGCAGTATCTTGGACCTGAACCAGATTATTATCGCTGCTTACAGAAATAAAAGGACACTGTGCATTTCAAGGTCACAGACAAAAATATTTCACTGAAGTTTGGTTCGCTGGTTTAGCTGCTTTAAGAGATGGCGAGGAGTTCTGAGTAAATGTATTCCTGTCCCGTAACGAACAGCAACCAAACGCCAAAAAAAGAAGAGAAAAAGAAAGCCCTGTGCGAACGCGTTTGGGTTTCCTCCGGCTGAAGCATGACTGAGTTCTCAATGCAGCTTTGCCTAGCTGGAGCCTATTTTAAAATGCAGCCTTACCGAGCCGGAGCCTATTTTAAAATCCGGAGCAGTGGTGCTGCCTGTTGCCTGGAAACCTTCTCCCAGCCTCGGGCACTCTCAGCCTAATCATAGCCATCGGCAGCCTTTATTTATTTCCCTTCCAAAATGTCATCCCAGGCTTCTGGGTTGTGTTTTTGTTTGCTTGTTTTTGTTTATTATTTAAAATGAGAAGACGCAGAGTGTGACCGTCAAACTCGGTGACTTTTCAGCGGGCAGGGCTCGCTTGGCCGTCCCTGCATTGCGGTGGTGGGAACTGGCATTTCACGCTCTCTGAGGTGGTGGCTCGGAGGGGCGTGGGGGGACAGGAGAAGTGGGGGCTGAGGGGATGGGGCTGGTTGCCTGAGGAAACACCCCCCCCCGAGCTCCGCTGATGCATGCGGTGACTCCCCACGCCTTGTGACAGTTTCCTTAAGAGGAAAAAACGAACCTCAACATCTCTGAGCCCTTTCCCAGCACGCACGGGTCCAAGTTGCCCTTCCCGGTGCGGTCACATCGTCCCGCGCCAGACCCACCATTCAGCGCTGGGCTGCCTGCATCAGCACGGATTTGCTTTTCTCCCTGTTTGCTGGGGACTCATCCTGCAGTCGGGGTCTGTCCCTGCGGAGCTGTTAGTCTGAGCTTTAGCATCTCTCTGTGGTGACAGATGAACGGAAAAAAGTTTCAATTGGAGGTTTCCCTGTCTTAGGGGTCCTTTTTAATTCACCTAAACTCTTGGCCACCTTAAAACCTTAAGTGATGCCATCCCTCCCACAGGAAAACTTTAAATGATTGCTATTTCCGTGTAGTTAGTGGGCACGATCGATCCTGGTGGGATGAAACAGAATTGATCGGAGGAGCCCAGCGATGATTCAGTTGTGTTTCTCTCCTGGGAGAGCGCTGGGCTCAAATCCTCTGAAAGTTGGTAACAAACACAAACCAGGACAGCCAGAAGGTTTGTACGTGAGGCATAGGAGCTGCTTCAGCTGATCACAAGTTGTTCTTGTGATCTAAATGGTTTATTTTACAAAGCTCAGAATATTTGTTCTGCCAAAGGCAAAACCGAAGGAGGCTTTGGCTCGAGATGTGGTTGAACAAAGGTTCATGTTTTGTTTAGCACTCTTATTGCAGGCACAGAGCAATACAAAAGGCTTATCTTGTACTTTCTTTTCCCCTTGAATTAATTTGAAGTTTGACAGCCAGCTTAGGCTCTTCTCAGGGTGCGCTCTTGTCTCGCAGTCTTAGTGCTGGGACATAAAGTCCAAATTTTCCAGGACAAACAGAAGAACCAGAGCCAGGCAAAGGGCAGACACTTTTTCCATCCCCATCTTCCACTGGGTGCTGGTGATTAAGACAAACAGGTTCATTTACCAAAGAAACAGTGAGGGTGAATGAATCACACTCTGAAATGATGTGTGCTTCTCCACGGAAGGGTAAGAGTGCTTGAGAGGCTGCAGGGACAGTGGTCAGGTCCCCGGGCTCGGGCAGCGATGCTCAGTTGTGTAGAGAGGCAGCAACATCTGTTGAAATTTTTGTGCAAATCCAAACTCTAAAACCAGAAATGGCCCTTCTGTCGAATCCTCTCTTCTGGAATTAAAGCAGATCTGGGCTGCCTTTCTGTATAACCTAGACCTGTTGTCTCCTCGGATGCTTATTGCCTTAGTTTCTGAAGCAAAGCTTTCTACAGGTGATCAGCATCCTCTTCCTCTGGGGGAGGGAGGAGACAGAAGGAAGAACAAAGTGCATATGGGGGAGGCAGGAACAGGAACAGCAGAGAAACGGTGGAAAACTGTGTGGTCACAGATGGTAAAGCAAGAGGGTTCCTCGTCCTGCCTGTGCGACCAGCACCCCCGAATGCCTGAGCGAGCAAAACCACGCTGCTTGTGGCAGTAGCAAAGGACAAAAGATCAAGTACTTGAGGGGAAAATGCAGGGTCTGTTGAGCTGAATTCAATGCTGGAGGGTTTAAGAAAATAATATTAAAACAGGACAAGGAGAAATGAGTGCTAAAACACCCGGTGGTGGGTTTTCCTTTGCTAACCTCTCCCAGCTGCATGTAGTTGGAGCTCATGCTAGTGTTTTCTTTTCTTTGTAGCCTGGTAGCTTAATTCTCCCAATTCCCCCTTCAGAGCAGTATTTTTCCTTCTCTTTTCCATTGGCGATGGCTGTCGGAGGGTTTGTGCTGTGACGTGCCAAAACACCAGCTCTCGCAGGCAGCGTTAGGGTTTGTGTCGGTGGCTCTGCCGTGCCCTCAGGGGGGTTTATTTCTTGGGCTTGGTGGTTCCTCCCGTGTCCCTGATTTGCCATCCCAGTGCAGTCCTGCTAATCTGGCTTCTTCTCCCTACCAGAATGAAGAGAAGAGGAACCTTTCCCTGGGGGGCCATGTTGGCTTCGACAGTCTCCCCGACCAGCTGGTCAGCAAGTCTGTCACACAAGGCTTCAGCTTCAACATCCTCTGCGTGGGTGAGCACGGGCCTCTGCAAACAGACGGGGGCCGAGCTGGCGGCGCGGTGAGGTTGGGACCAGGACTCCTTACGTGTCCTGCTGCGCCACGGGCCTCGGCAGTGACTTTAAGCAAGTCAGAAATGCCTAACTCTTTGAAAAAAATGGTTTGAATTTCGGTGAATTTGAGCACTCTGGAGCTTGATGCTTCCGAGTTGGGACTTTCACGAGTGACTTTTGGAGACTCACTGCCCATAAGTAGAGAGAGTTTTGGGAAAAGCTTTAATATATCAACTTTTTGCCTTTGGTGGGGACGAAGGGGGTGTGGGACTGTGCAGCTCTGCACTGAGCTGAGCTACCGGTGCGGAAGCTGCAGAGAGCAGCAGGAGGGTCCAAGTGACTGACCCTTGTGGGTCAACAGAAGGATTTCGGTAATCAGGGGGGTGTCCCTCACCTCCTCTGCTGCAGTGGCTTTGCAATAGGAAGGATTAAGGCAAGACTGCATGTGGCAAATTAAACATTTCCATTTGCAAACTGGGGTGGCTGCCGTGAGCAGCTTCTCAGTGAAAACGGTGCCTGAATAGATGCAGTCAGATGCACCGTGTGTTAGCCGGGAGCTGCTGGGGATAACTCGGTCTTTTCTGAGTGTCAGCCTGCACCCCAAAGCTCAGGATGAGAGGTTTGTGTCCCAGCTGTGCCTGGTTAATGCTTTCCAGGGGTGAGTCAAAGGGCTTGAAGCATGAGCGTCCCTGTGAGGAAAGGGAGCGGGAGTGTTCCTGGTTTTATTGGTTGTAAAATATTTATCTTGAAGATCGTGGGCAGATGTGAGAGACTGACTTTAAAATAACCTCATCGTATTCTTGTTTTTTAATTTTGGTATTAATGTGATCTAGCGGGCGATTCTGGAAACCAGTTCCTTCCAACGATGAGATGAGCATTATTTTTGCTTTGGCTGATTCTTGTATTGTGTATGAGGTCTCAAGTATTGTAACCTGCTGCACCAGCAGAAATTCATCCAGAGACAGCAGCTCCCTGCCTGGCCCTCAATCTGCCCAAAGAGAATATGGCTTTGTATAGACTCTGCAGCGAAACCCTAACAACTTCCACAAGGTGCTTGTGCCATATTTAAGCCACTTTTGCATATCCAAACCACAAGTGAAAAGCGGGGCTGAAATCGCAGTGGAATGTCGTAGACTTGCTCCATAGCAGAAGGGTAGTTGCAGCAGAGAACAATGTGTTTTTAATTAATGTTGGGGACACCAGAATGGGCACTCCTGTGTTCTCATCTGGCCATACTATTTGTGAAACACTGGAAAAAATTTCCAGTGGTTTTTGTTTTTTTTTTTTATGGACAAGAGGAAAAAAATCCAACCTGTGCCCCTTTTTATTCAGTTCCTGCTCTCAACTGTGCTCAAAACTGAACAGGAGAACGCGGCCTACATCAGTAGTGAGTTCTCCATATGACTTCCCTTTCAGATTAATCTAGAACACCAGGCTGGTTTTATTTCCTTGCACAACTCCTAACCACAGCCGGTAGGAAGCAGCTCGCCCCACTGCCCTGAGCCCCGTGTGGTGTTTATGGTTGTGCTTGAAGAAGGAGAAAGCCCGGCCCCCTTGGCACCAGGCATGGCACCTTCCTTGAACAGAAGCTTGCACGCCCTCCTGCTCTGCCACCAGCACGTCGCTGCAGGGCTCCCGGAGGTGGCCGGGCTCGGGCAGAGGGGCTCTGCTCAGAAGCAGTGGGTGGCTGTGCCCAAGGGGCAGCACGGCGGGCTGCCTGCGAGGGGAGCCAGGAGGGGAAGGCTCCTGCCTCTTTGCTCCCTTGGCCAATAGGTCTGTGTGTAGTGAATGAGGAGGTGAAATGGGGCCCCTTGTAGGCCAATCTGGAAAGTATCAGTCTCGTTTAGTTACCAGTTCAAAGCCTTTCTGGCTCACAGACAGCCTCTGAGCCAAATATTCTGGGATGGAACTTGGTTTGTGATGCATCCCAGGTGTCCTTCAGTGGCTGTTAGAACAGAGGGGCTACAGATGGGAAACTTCTCCTAATCTTGCCTCTACTGGTTCTCCAAGAGCTAGTCTCTCCCTACCAAGCTTCTCTGCCATCCCCTCTTGACCCTATATTCTCTCCATATGCACATCTCAGGGGTTCAAGTTGGCATAATTTTTTCTACTGCTGGAAAGGTGAAGATGCCTCAGAAAGGCCCTGCTGCAGTGCTCCAGCACAGGGCTCTGCCGAGCTCTGTAGTAAAAATGCTCTGTGGAATGTGGCCTCTGAAAACACCGTCATGCTCTGCAAAGCCTCTGTGTCACAGAGGCTGTGTGGCATTTTGGTATTAGTTTCCCCTAAACAGTGTTCTTGTCTCCTCTTGGCCGATCTGGTGTGAAGAATCATGGGGCAGCCTTGAAGGAAGCAGGAATACTAAAGGGAAACTCCCGAAACCGAGAGCAATATGGGATGAAACCAGCTGCCATTGCAAACGCCATCATCTGGGCAGGGTCGCAAGATCTCCCTGTGCAGCTGGAGCTCCTCAGGGCAGAGCTGTCTTGCTGAGATTGTTTGGATGCCTGTGGACGCTCATGCCTGATGTGACGGAATAATTTGTTGCTTATTTCCTCCAGTTTGGTTAGTCCTGTTTGCTGCACAGGTGGCTCTGTCATCTCAAAGCACAGACCTGCTGTCTGGGACAAGTCTGTGCAGAATGGGACCATCTTGGACAGTTTGCAGGTACCGAGCCAGCTCTCAGCAGCAAACCTGCTTGTGCAGAGCCCACAGTGCTTTCCGAAGAGCCACAGAGCTGATGCTGGCGTAGCTGCTGCATGGATGGAGGGGGAAAGGGTTACAGATGGACTTCAGTCCTTTGGCAGTTATTAGTGGGACTGGAGGATTGAGGCCGCGGAAGATGGACGAGCTGCTTTAAGGCTTCTGGGCAGAGCAGAGTTCAGCTGCACAGTGAAATCATGAAACTTGCATCTTTTCTGCTGTGGAAGGAGGTTTTCAGTCTGATGGCAAGTTGTCCCAGCAGGTCCAGAGCTGTCTACCTGCTTCTCTGCACTGAAATAGGCCCCCAGATTCCCTCCTCACAGGGAGGGAATCTCAAAAAAAAAGGAAAAAGGCAGGTCCCAAGAGACTTTAATGGCAAGATAAGGTAAAGCAAGTGATAAAGAAGCTTGTTAAAGTTGGGAATCTCACAGAAAGGAGTGCGAGGAAGCCTCACCGCCAGCCTTCCCTGTCCCCTCCACGGCACTGGTGCTGGTCTGCAGGGCTGCCTGGAACTGCCTCTGCCTTTGGGATGGCCAACAGCGACCCACTGGTCCTTGTCACCAGGAGCAGCTGAGTTCTGCTCCTTCTCATCTGAAGACTCAAAAGACTCTACCAAAATCATACTCTCCCCGGGATCCTAAGCAAAGTCAGGGCGTGTGGAGGGGAGGATGCTGTCTTTTGCTGTGCTGTGTGATCCTCCCTGGGGAGATGAGACCCGAGTGCTCAGCGTTAGCTTTGCATTAAGCATGGGGCGCCCTCAAGAATGCAGTTACCTCTGTGACAATTCTGTGTCTGCCCACAAGCAATTTGTAGTTACCTTCCACAGCATAATTTAGTTCTCTCTGTTACTATTCTTTGGAGTACCTGTGACAAACTCATGCTGCAGCGAGCTGATGATTTCTCCTTCCTAGGTGAGACCGGCATTGGGAAATCCACACTAATGAACACCCTCTTCAACACCACGTTTGAGACGGAGGAAGCCAGTCACTACGAGAGCGCGGTTCGCTTGCGGCCGCGGACCTACGACCTGCAGGAGAGCAACGTCCACCTGAAGCTAACGATTGTGGATGCGGTTGGATTTGGGGATCAGATAAATAAAGATGAAAGGCAGGTCTCGTGCCATCTGCTTGGTGTTTCTGGGCTTGCCCCTGAGGCTCAGACCTGAACCGCCCGCAGTCCTGCTTGCAGTGTTGCAGAGGAGGTGTCTGTGTTTCTGCTAATGGAGTAGCTCCCTGCAGTGGTTCTGCTTCTGGGGACGGAGCGTAGAGGGAATTGGGTGAGGAGCCAAAAAGAGAGGTCACAGGAGGTCGTTCCAGCAGAGAATGGTGTCCTCCAGGAGCACGAGCAGTTAACAGGCTGTCCCCAGTGCAGGGTGGGGAATGATCTGTTCTGGCGGTGATCAGTGTCTCTGGACCTGTCTCATTTAATTATGCAGACATCTTGTTCAAGCCCCAGGTAAAGGCTTGCTGGGGCTCCAAGGTCTCCCCTGGGTCATGTTGCATTGCTACAGCCAGATGGCTCAGCCCTGAGATCTGGACAAAGTTTGATCCGTGGAAGTAGTCATCTTCCCATGTTCCACTGTCCTTGGGCTTTGCAGGGCAGCCCCGGGAGACTCCAGCAGCCTTTGGTCTGTGTGTAAATTCCACACTTTTCCTGTTGTAAGGCTAAATAGTTTTGAGTCTTGTAACTACTTTTTAAATGTTACCGTGGTATGTCTAGGAGAACTCCTTAAGCCTTCAAACTTGCATTTTGAGCTCCAGTATCTGGGTTGCTAATGGTATGGTTTTAGTTACAGGCCGATTGTTGAGTACATTGATACGCAGTTTGAAAACTATTTGCAAGAAGAGCTGAAAATCCGCCGATCTCTCTTCAACTATCACGACACGAGGATTCACGTCTGCCTGTACTTCATCACCCCAACCGGGCACTCGCTCAAGTCCTTGGACCTAGTGACAATGAAGAAGCTGGATAGCAAGGTAAGGGCTTGGAGACCCTCCTTCTGGAAGCGGTGATGCTTCTGTTAATATTGGTTGTCAGGTGGAAGGCTCTGATCCTTCTCTGTAAGTGCTGGACTTCTTCCTGCATGTTATTTGAGCTGTTTGTAGGACTCTGGTAAAACTTAGTCTGCCCTGGTGGGTTGCTGAGGTCCTGTGCTTTTTTTTCTCTCCGGCCTTCCTGAAAAACATCAGGTAAAAAACCTGTTTTTCAGCCAGCTGTGTGAAGTCTAGTGTCCATCACTGTAAGAATCGTACCCAGATTAGTTCAGATTTATCAAAGCCATCAGCTGCATCTTTATTAGCTCTTCTTGACAGGTGTGCAGGTAAAGATGTGTTCCAGCTCCTGCAGTTGAACTGTGGAAACTGCGGAGCCACTTCTGCTCTCCTGACCTGTCGTTAGGGACAGAGGGGCCGAGAGCCACCAAAATTTGGGTCATCTGAGGTGGGGGTCAGTAACGGAGGAGCCCAGGGCTGAAGAGAAGCGTTGGCTGGCGCAGAGGCAGCGCGTGTGCTGCCACTGCTGGTTGTGCCAGATGATCTGGATAGGACATCACGGTATCTTCTGAAAATGTAAATGTGGTGAGGAATTCTCAAGGTCACAGGAATCCTAGAAGTGGGTCCTGATCGGGTCTAGCTGGAGGTTGTCTCTTTGTGCATGCCTTAGGGGGCAGTGGGTTACTTAACTGGCTACCTCTGACATTCCTGCAGCTCCGAGGAGGTTTCTGACACACTTTTGATCGTTCCAGCTGGCTTCCAGGGAGCTGCAGGAGGCCTCAGAGGTCACTAGTGGCAGCAGCATCTCTTCTTTGCAAGAATTTCCTGTCTTTCACAGGAGTATTTTAGCAGCAGGGTGGTTTGTTTCGGATGACAGATGCTGACCGGTCTACAGAGAGGGCCGGCAAGGCAGCTGGGGCCCTGCAGTAACCGGGGATCCCCTGGTTTAGATTTAGGGGACGCTCTCTTCTCTGGCTGTTGCCCCGTGCAGCTCTGTTGGACTTTCCTGGTGGATAGCTTGCCCTCGCCCACCCGGGGGCTGTTGGCCCTCGCCCGTGGGGGGCTGTTGGCATGCTTTTCCTTGGCCCCGCTCTGGAGCCGGCGCTGGCTTCCCGTTGCAGTGGGCTGTTTGTAGCCACGGTGGCTGTTACACTGGTTTTCATCAGGAATCCAAAAACTTTCCCTTTAATAAACTCTTGGCTCTTGGCACCGCGCCAGCATTACGTGTGCCCAGAAATATGTTTGGAGGAAGGCTTCTGCACGATTCCCCTTGGCGCTGGTGGTCCCACAAAGCTTTTCTCTTCCTTTCCTCCTGCGTTCCCTACTTTTCACATGACCCCGTGGCTGCTTTTACTGTGGTCCTTAGGTAGTACCAAAATAAACCCTTTGTATTTGTGCAGAGATGGGAACTTTGTGCGCACGCAAGCTTTTTATATTTCTAAACTTAAACTAAATAGTCCTCTCTGAAGTCATTTTGTCCCTTTGCTCTCATCTCCCTTCTTACCAAAGTGTGAGAACACCTTGGATTTCATGGTGTGCTGGCCTCGCACGAGCACCTGTGTGGAAATGAAAAAAACAGTAGAGGCCGGTGATCTTTTTTGGGGGTCAGGGGTTTCTGCTGCATTTCTGCATCGGTGTCAGCCCAGGACATCACGATGCTTTTCAGACACTCCTTAGAGGCTTGCGTGTGACCGTGCTGTGCCCCTTCCCCAGGACACGTGGGCCATTTGTGCCTGGGGGCCAGCGGGTGTCACCGAACCCCAGGCAGCTTTTTGTCTGCTCCGGGCTGGTAACAGCGAGCGGTTACCGGGGCTGAGCGGGGAGGTGACGGGGAGCACACCTGGCCCTGGTTTTCCTCCTGGGAAGCTTTTTGTGGCCCCTGTTGTACGGATGAAGAATGGAGTCCGTGGAGGCAAAGTGTGTACCAGAGGCAGTGTTTCGCTGCGTGCTCTGCTGGCTCAGCCTCTGGGACTAGTTTAACAAGGGTTTAGTAGGAGCCTGGCCCAGTTACACCTTCGCTTTAGCACCAGTGGCATCAGGTGTCGGGAGGCTTTTGAGTCTGTGTGGCGGTTTCAATAGTGCATCTTGCTTTTGGTGTAAAGTTTACAAAATCCCCCTGGGTAAAGCTGTTTTGTAAACAGAAATCTTCCATTGTACTGTAATACAATATTTGTTTGGCAGAGCTGATGGCCAGCTGTTCTCTGGGGTGCTTAATTACAGCTGGAGAGCTAGAAGTGTCTTCAGGACGAGTTCTGGGTGGATGAAGTGTGCCAGGCTGGTCGGTGGGAAGCACGTATGACCTGGCAGGGGTTGGCTTGGCATTGGGTTTAACCTGGGAAAAGGGGGAGATAAATAACTAACATAAATAAAGTAAATAAAATTGCGTCTGTAGTGGATGAGAAGGTGATTTATTGATTTTAAAACACAGCCCAGCCCTGGAAAGTGAAGGCCCAGGTGCGTGCTGTCGTGGGCATCACAGGGCTCCCCGGGCCTTTGACCCTGGATGGTGTCCAGCGGCGTGGGCTGTTTACGAGCTGTGCCTGATTGCCCTTGGTGAGCTGACGCAGCCCAGGCGGGTCACTGGCCAGGGGGGACGCTTCGGGCCCGCTTGTGCCTCTGCTGTTTGGTTTCCAAGGCAGGATTTGCCTCTTGGCTTCCCAGGGCTTGCATTCAGGAACACTTTGGAGGTGGGGAAAAACCCAGCGGTATTTCACAGGGTGAAAATGCAGGTAGCCTTATTATATTAGCAAAATTATTTTCTACTGACTGACTTATTCTGACATGTTGCAAGTTTTATTTTTGGAGGCGAGAAGTAGCTCTGTGGTCAGAATGCCTTGAGAAGGAGGTGTGTTTTATGTGTGTACGTGTGAGTTCACTGTCCTGTCTGAAGCACAGACTTCCTCTCCTCGTAATTCTGGCTCCAGCAAAGACTTCCAGCACGTGGACCGACAGTCAAGAGAACGCTGCACCCCTGTCGCATTCAGTGGGATGACGCTCCAGTAGTTAACTTCATGATTTTATTATTAGATCTTTAAACAGAGAATAGTCCCTCTTCCACCATGAGATATAAGAATGTTGCTCTGGGATTTTGCCTGCAACCCCAGGTAAACATGATTTGTGTAAAAGTAATAGTGGGGAGAGAAACCTCGCATGGTTCTGGCATCACTTCCTTTTATTGGGTTTTTAAAAGCTGTTCAGGAAGGAGAGGTGACTTCTCTAGCTATTGCATGTCAGCTTATTTGGCCCTAACCTGTGCCACCTTGGCGTAGAAATGGATGTGTGGAAGGTGCTGTAGGAGGGCAGGATCAGACATGCAGTTTGGTTCAGTAGCATCTTGTGTCATTTATTTTTTTTGTCTTCTGTCCTTTCTCATTGTAAAAAGGGATGAGCTCACTCTAGACTTAGACAGCTTTCGGGTGCTAGTGCTCAAAGTCAGAGACAGGAAAACAAGAAGATAATTATATGGTGCTCTGGGTATCCCCTGTTAACTGTGGGATTCCAGCTCGTGGGTTTCCAAGGCATGCATGAAATCAAAACAAAACCAGTAATAATTTAAATAACTGAGGAACTCGGAAGAAGAGAGAAGGAGGAACATACACCCAAATGCCATTTCCAGGACTCCACGGTATTGATGCTGGCTGTCAATTTCTGGAAATGCGACAACTTATAAAACCCTTTTGGGTTTTGAACTTCGTGACAGCAGATGCTGAGTCGCTTTTCAAAGCCTAAGGAGCCTGGTCGGAGGGGACATGAACCAACCTTGGTTTGCACCTTGTTTGGGTCCTGCTGGGGCAGCAGCTGTGACCGCAGAGCCTGCCAGGCAGGGCTGAGCTCGTACTTTTTGAAGGGAGGGGGGGGAAATTGCTTAAGCCAACTGAAAACAGACTAAAACCACCCTCGTGCTGGTCTGTTGGTGTGCCTGGCTGGACGGAGAGCGCCAAGCCCTGCACGCTGCAGGTCCCTGGCAGTGCCTCTCCCCTCGCGGGTACCACTCCGGAGCGAGTGGTTCCTGAGCCCTGAGCTGACCCTTCTTCTGTCAGAGGTGGTGGATCCAAGCCTCCTCAGCCCTTAGCGGGTCAGCGAGGCACCCAGCTGTGGTCATGGCCCTTTTTACCTTTGTAGCGAGGACATCGACCTGCTGAGGAGTGAGCAGCAGACCTTGCTCTGTGTGGGTCTGTGCTCCTTGGTAAAAGAGGCCAGATCAGTGGCTGAGAAAAAGAAGGAATTTATCCTCAGATAAATTTGCAGTGAAGCAATTCACACTGTTTCCTTTTGGAGTGAGTAAATGCTCTTGTATGGAGCCATTGCTAAACCAGAGTTGGGGGGAAACCCGAGAAGTATGGAAAAACCAGGGAGCTATAAAGAGAACTGGAGCTGGGAAAGCAAGGTCGTTTATTTTAATGGGCACCCGTTGGAGACCAAATGGCTGCTATGAATTTCTGCTCTGTAGGACAAAAAAGCGTTGGCTGTTGGGAAATGTTAGATGACAAATCAGATTTTCCCTTTATCTGTCTGAATTCTTGTGTTTTCCTGCTATGGATTTGGCTGCTGTTCAGACAGACGAGTTTTGTTGTTTGTTTGAGCAGTGGTTTGCAGTATTGCACTTGGCTTTCCTGGGCATGGCAGCGTTATCTAATAGAGGTTCCTGTGACAGATCCTGCCCTGCTGTAGCTCTCCCAAGCACGAGGCCATCGCCAGTCCATCCCTCCTGACTGATGTGGGATGTGGCCCTTGACCTTGGAAGGAACCAGGCACAGGGGGGGGACCTCCCCACCGGCAGCTCGTGGGTGACTTTGATACCTGGGTCGATGGAGCCGTGTGGTGCGTTGTGCTCAGCGACTGCCGCTGCGAAACCACAGCTGAGCAACAACAGCACAAAACCAAACATCCAGTCTGCTGTGCGGCACCCTGCACCCTTCCCGGGTGGTGGGTGTCATCCGCAGGGCCCGAGGTGTGATCCTCACGGAGAGGCTCGGGAGCCCTCGGGAAGGATCCGCAGTGCCTGCGAAAGCCTCGGAGGAGTCCCTGCTCTTTCTGCTGAGCTTGGGAAGGCTTCACGTCAGCTCACTGCAGCCTCTCATCCTTGCACTTGTCTTCTAAAATGGCTTGGCAGCACAGCCAGAAGCCGATAGGAGATAACTCGAGATGTGACAGTTACGCTGTCTCTGCCTCCCTCGAAGCGTCTAACAAAATACACAGGCAAGAGCAGAGGCTTTGATCTGCTCCTTGTGTATTTATCGCAGGGTGGTTGTCTTGGGTTTATCTGAAAGTCTCGTCGCCAAATGAGTCCTGGAAAACTCTTCCCTCTAGTGTTCAGCTGGGCTTGTGCTGCAGCTCGCATGCAAAAGCTTTGTGGTTTCATGGAATGTAAAGGAGGCACCGGGGTAGGACCCGGGTCACGCCGCGGGCACCCGCACTCCCGACAGGGCTGCTGGCCCGAGTGCTGCTCACCCGGTGGTTTTTCCTTCCTTCTGCCGCAGGTGAACATCATCCCGATCATTGCCAAAGCAGACACCATCTCCAAGAGTGAGTTGCACAAGTTCAAGATCAAGATAATGAGTGAGCTGGTCAGCAATGGGGTACAGATCTATCAGTTCCCCACAGACGACGAAGCGGTCGCCGAGATCAACTCAGCGATGAACGTGAGTGACGCCGCCGAGCGCGGCGCTGCCCGGGGTTGTGACATGAAACCGCTGCCCAAAAACGCATCTGAAGGGCGAGTTTCACTGGGATTGTCCAGACACTAAATCTGATAGTTGAGCTGTGGATCTGACAGTCGCCTAAGGCTGTTGCAGACAGAATTAATTAAAACGTGGCTTTTATTTAATCTGTGGGCTCTCTGGAGAAACCCAGCTCAGCTCTAAAATTTGTTTTATTGAATTTTCGAAAAATACTTTCTTCAAAATTCATTCTGTCTGCTTTGAGGCTACTTTTCTTCTGAAGAGGGAGAGATTTTGAATAAAGATTTTACAGTTAAGATTTACAATGCCCTTCTGACTTAAAGAGGCTAAACAGAGAAAAGCCCAGTTTAAAATAAAGAAGAAAACTGGTTAGACTCTATTTTGTGGGATTTTTTTAAAGGTCAGAGATCAAATTCAGACCTGGCTGAAGGGTGTGCAAAACACGCTCTGGTTTCCTGTTTCCCAGATTAGAGTGTAGCTATTGCAGTAGAAAGAGCTGAAACGTTTCCATGTTAATTTTAAAAATAAAAAGAAGCTTTTTCATCAAAAGGAGCGTTTTCCTGCATAGCTCTTTGATTGAACGCTTTGTCTTTTCTTTCACAGCCCCCTTTTTAAAATTGCAACAGCCAGTTGATTTCTGAGTCAACTAGATATGTGTTTTGACTGTAATAGTTCTCTTTTACTGAATTCATGAAAAATTTGGAGGATGCACTCTTTTTAAAATAATTGCAAGCTGTGTGCACTGGGGAGAAAACCAGGAGTCATCCTTGTTTAGTTTTTCATCGGGTGTCCCCCCCCGCCAGTGAAAAAATAATCTTGGCCACTTTTCTAGCAGTTCCACGCTTCTGCATCCATTTCTTCTTAACCGTGCAGGATTTTGTCCACCTCCTCCCTCTGAAGCACGTGCCCCGTGGCTCCTTCCCTGCAGAGCTCGAGGACGGTGCCGCGTTTCCTCGCTGCGCTTGGTGCTTTGCAGTCTCGGAGAGCAATGAGCACATGTTGTATCCTACACATGTCCCTTCCAGTGCCCACACACAAACTGCTGTGCCAGGGCCTGTTGACGGATCTCTCTGCTTGTGCTTTCTGCAAGGCAGGGAGTGCCCTGCTCTTGGCTTGGGGAGAAGCTGCAGCTGCAAGAACAGTCTGACAAACGGGTAGAGGGAGATCAGTAACGACCATGGCGTTCCCACAATATTTCCCCAGCCAGTTCGGCCCAGCCAGCATTGCTAGTAAGCTGTGCTGCAGCCCTACGTGGCTCCGTCGTGATACAGTAGAGGCTGCTGTGAGTATTGGAGACGGATGGCTTCAGAGGAAGGACTTTTGGAAGCAGATCCTGTGCCTGGGTGCGGGGGACTGACGGCCAGGCTGATCCCTGAGGCGTCAGCCCACACCCTGAGCCCCTGCCCTTGGCTCTGTTTCAGGCCCATCTGCCCTTCGCTGTGGTCGGCAGCACGGAGGAGGTGAAAGTCGGGAACAAGCTGGTGAGGGCTCGGCAGTACCCGTGGGGAGTGGTGCAAGGTAAGGCGCTGCCAGCCGGGCGCCCGCTGCAAACCCCCCTTGGACGGGCAGGCGGGGCCGCCGGCGCCCTCCGCAGCTCTGCCCCCACCAGCCCGCGGGCACCGCGGTGCACAAACCTCCCGGGCAGCTTTTTCTGGCTTGGCCAGTCTTTCCTTTGAATTCCCATTCCTACCAGCACATAGTACTGGTCAGCAGAAACTCCTGCTGTAGGCCACCACAGGCCCTGGGAGGGGAGCGGCTGGAGCGAATGGGTACGAGCCTTCGTGCTCCCCCGGCGTCGCTGACTTCTCCCTTTGCTTCCATCAGTTGAGAACGAAAGTCACTGTGACTTTGTGAAACTGCGGGAAATGCTGATTCGAGTCAACATGGAGGATCTTCGGGAGCAGACTCACACCCGCCACTACGAGCTGTACAGGAGGTGCAAACTGGAAGAGATGGGCTTCAAGGACACGGACCCAGACAGCCAGCCCTTCAGGTGAGTGACCTTCACCTCTAGCAGCGATTTCAAGCAATAGCTTGGTACTGACACTCCTGAAAAATGAAAGGGTTGTAGGTGATAACCTGCAGTGCCAGGCTGAAAAACACTAGTGCTGGGTTTGAACTTTGCTCCTGACTTTGGTGACATTCCCTTCCCTGCCTGTTTGTCTTTAAGCAACACAGACAGGAATGTCATTCCCCATCATAAACTCCCAGGTGTCCAGAGAATCATGGACTTTGTTTGCTTTCTTCCCCAGCCTCCAAGAAACATATGAGACCAAAAGGAAAGAGTTCTTGGGTGAGCTCCAGAAGAAAGAGGAAGAAATGAGACAAATGTTTGTTAACAAAGTCAAGGAGACGGAGGCAGAGCTGAAAGAGAAGGAGAGAGAGGTGGGTGTGCCAAAAACCTGTGAGAGAGAGGAGCCCAAAATACAGCCAGCACAGGATCTGGGGCTGGGCAGTGTTCGAATCCTGGAAGGCAGATGCAGCTCTTGAGCAGAACTCACAGCCAAAGCACAAACACCCCCCCCTTCCCTCGCTCAGCGAAAGGGCCACGGGGTAATGTTTGTGAAACGGCCCCACTGGTGCAGGTGCCTCAGAAACAACTGGGGCAGGGTGCAGGAGGCTCGGCTGCTGCTCGGCCAGTCAAGGGCAGGGCAGGATGTTTTGGTGAGTGTCCGTGCCAGGTAGACTTTGTACCCGGGGGCAGAGTAAAGGGGCAGCTGGGCTGGAGTGGGGCCGGGGCGGGGGATTTGTGTGGGAGGGGTGACTGCATCGTGGTGGCCGTGCTGGAGGCGATGCTCAGAGGGGTCTGTCTCCTACCAGCTGCATGAGAAATTTGAGCACTTAAAAAGGATACACCAGGAGGAGAAAAGGAAGGTGGAGGAGAAGAGGAGGGAGCTGGAGGAAGAGATGAACACCTTCAACAGGAGGAAAGTAGCGGTGGAAACCTTGCAGTCCCAATCCTTGCAGGCTACCTCACAGCAGCCACTGAAGAAGGACAAAGACAAGAAAAAGTAAGTGGCTGAACTCGAGCCTTTCTCCTCTGCTGCTGGGAAGCTGGTGTCTGCTCAGATGCTTTAGCGTTTGGTCAGTTGCTTAAGACAGCAAATGGAAAAGGGGATTTTGGAATCCCAATTCCTGCTCTTCTGACTCTTCGTCTAAAGTGGAGGAGAGCTGGGACCCTCCTGGGCCTGGGCAGTGCCCTGGGGAAGCGCTGGTGCCTGCGGTGGGAGGGATTTGGGGCAATTTGGGGCCATTCTCTGAAGGCTGAGAGTCCGGCGGGGCTTGCCCTTGCCTCTGTGACAGCCAGCGCAAGCGACCCTGCGAGCTGCCTGCCCCGGGGAAGGGGATCAGAAATAAGCTGCATCTTCCCCCCAGCAGAGAGGAGTGGGGACAATCCTGACACCGTTGTAAGGTCTCACGGACGAGGTCCCCCCTCACACACTGCCTCGCTGCGATCTGGAGGCCGGGGCCCTCTTCAGAGAGCACGCTTACTTTATTTTTAAGAGGCAGAGCTGTAAAGAAGGAAGCAGCAGCTTAGAGTGAAGATGTGTTGGAAATTCATTAGGGCTCCACAGTTCTGCTCCTGAGAAAGCTCTTTTCTCCTAAAGGCGGAATTCTTATCTTAGCTTGCTGCAAGTTAATTGACATTGCTGAAGCCAGCAAGAGCGTGGAGAGCGGGCATGTAAATAATGCTCTTTCAGCTGCCTGGTTGTGTAACAGTAGGGCAGGAATGGGGCAGAGGGCTCTGAAAAGAAAAGGTGGGGACGGGTGATCCTGCTTCCATTCAATCAGGGAACTGGCTAGGGAGCAAAATGGGAAGCACCATCATGCAAGCTGGTAATTCTGTTATTCCAGCATTTTTTTGTTACTTCCCCTTGCGTGAAGGAGCTTGAGAGTCTGCACTGCATTCTGCCCAATCCAGAACGGGGCGGTGGCAGTTTCTGAGCCTTTTAACGATGAAAAGAGAAAAAGACTCTGAGTTTGGTCTTGACAGCACAACGTTTGGCTTCACGTTGCTGACAAGACCTTGTGCTCTGTCGTTTCTCTGCTGTGAGCTGCAGCACTAGAGAAGCTCATTCTGCGTACTGACATGCTAGTAATTTGTTCCCTCCTGTGGAAGACAACAGTACGTATTTAATGTGTTATTTAATGTATTTGCTTGGAATGCAAATGGTTGGTGTTAAACCCAAAGCGCTCCTGCGGACCTCTCGGCATGCTCCGGCCACGTCCCACCTCCTACACAAAGCCCAAAACGCTTTGTAAAAATACTCTGCTGAAAATAGGGCTGAATCCAGCTAAACTCACACATGAATTAGGGGCTGAACCCCGGGGCACCAGGGGCCCGGGGCTGTTTGCAGAAGGGGAGGAGGAGGCCGGGATGCGGGTGCCTGGGGTGCTCCGGTGACGCCTGGCCAGGGTGACGCAGCGGCTTCCCCTCTGCTCCCTCTGCCTGCGGCACAAAGAGGTTTCCTACGCTTTGCTGGGTTTAGGCACCTGCAGACCTGAGTCTGGACACTCTTCCTCTCGCGATTAGAAACCGGCTGCAGTCGGAGGGCGGCGAGTGAGGGCCCCAGGGGCACCCCCGGTGCGTGCTCTGTGCGGTGCCGGGGCGGGTTCTCTCTTCAGTGCTGGAGCACAGCTGGAGGAGCTGCACCATCACCAGGAATCCATTAATTAATTCATAAATTAGGGAGAGGGAGTAGTTTTGGATTGGGATTTGGGATTTTTGGTGTGTGGGTTTGTTTTTTTTTTTTCCCCAAACCTGTGAGCTAATTCAAAATGTGGCATTTGGGGGTTTCTGCTCAAGCAGGATAATGAAGTTTGTAATAAAATATTCAAAGAAAGGTGTGTCCCCTCGGCCTGGCCGGAGACATGTCTTCCCAGACACCCCCTTCACCTGGGAGGTATCAAAAGGAGCGGGGGGGTCTTGTGAAACCCGGGTGTCAGCACAGCCCTCACCCGTCCCACGGCCGCATCCCCGGCGCTCGGCTCCGCGTCGACCCCGCGGGCATTGAGGGGAGCTGCGTGGTCCCTGGCGAGCAGCAGGAACGGCGTCGCCGGGTTTTTTACTGGGGTCTTTCCCCCAAACTGGACTGGAAGCAGCTGGGATTTGGGGAGCCGGGGGCAGGCAGCGTCCTCCCCCGGGGAGCAGCGGCACCGGCGGTGCCGGCGCGGCGCGGAGCCGAGGGTGACAGCAGCGGGAGGGTTGCACCGACACCGGGCCCACCTGGGGCAGCACGAGGCTGAAGGGGACCTGGAGGGTGCTGGGGAGCCCCCACAGCTGAGGAGGATCCTGGGTTTTTGGGGAAGGCGTGGGGACCTCGCAGGAATGGGGAATATATCGCGAGTTTGGGGAGGGGGGATTTTTTTTCTTGTTTAAATTTTTAGGAGAGTTACTTGAACTTTTTATCGTCTCCGGTTTCAATGCAGCGTTTTTAGTAGCTTATTAGAAGTGAGAAATGAAGATGGAAGAACTGCAGGTGTCGAGGGGAAATAAAAGTGTTTGTGCTGAGCTTCTCTTTCACCTGGCAGCTGCCAAGCCGGCTGTGCTCCAGCGCGGGCTCAGCGTGCAGGGGTTGCTCTCTGGGAGTCTTCAGATGCTCAAGCTGTGTTTCCCCTTCTCCTCCTTTTTTTTTTTTTTGTTTGTTTGTTTTTAACATATTTCGCTGCATTTGGCTTTTGTTTAATTTTCGTAACTTTAATTCATGCTTTTTTTTTTTATGTTTTGTTTCTTTCAGTTAATCACACACAGACTTTCAGGCCAAGAGTGGACTTGGTGCTTTCATGTGTTAAGTTGCTTGAGTTTCCCACCCCGTGACCTTTCTCATAACATTGTGTGAGTGGACCAAAGTGAAAGAGAAAATGAGCATCTTCGGTGGTTGCAGTGTAACGACTCGCTGTTACCTGTTACAGAATTTATCAGGAGGTTTTAAGGAAGTAACCTTACCACCTACATTTTGTTAAACAAAGTCAACTAATCCCTAAATTAAGATGTTTTATTCTAAACCCAGTGATTGAGCAGCCGTGTTTAACTCTTTGTCTGAACTTACCCACCAGCTAAATAATTGCTTTCTGGATTCACTTGGTTTTTAATTGGCTAAGGTGACTGCTTGAGGCTCATCTCCCTTCCCCTGTACATGCACAGATGTGAGGAGTGGTATGAAGAATGATGAAATGTTTATTTTTCTAACAAAGTTCTCGATTGGAATAAGTTTTTAGCATGGGTGGAAAACACAGTACTTAGACTTTCTGCCCTGGGAATCTTAGTCAGAGTAACCCTCATTCCAGTAATTATATATTTTAATCCTGAATTACTCTAAAAACTTTCTACATCATTTATAATATATATATATATATATATATAAAGAGAGAGAGAGCGGTTAATAAAATTCATAGGACAATGTTTTGAATTTTCTTTACTGCTAAAGTAGAACGTTTATATAGAAAGATTTTTCGTAAGAGTTTGTTGTATAATGTGGAACTACAGGATTTGTGTAACTTTTCGGTTGTCATTTACCAATGTATTTTGCTGTTGTGGAAAAACTATTTAAGTTGTCATCGTCACTTTCGCTCTTTAACCTTAAACTTACGATGTGCCTAATAAGGAGAATCCCCCAGACTTGAGCTATGCACCGTATTTATGCTGACAGGCTCTGTTCCTCCTAGAAGGTGCTTCCTTCGACACTCCTCATGCCTAGAAATCACAGCCCTTCTTCTCCGAGAGGAATAATTAGGATCAATACTCTTTTTTTTTTTTTTTTTTTTTCGGACCGTTTTGTGATAAGGCAGGATGATAATCGAGTAGAGACTTCCTAGCTATGTTGTCATGGAAAAACAGTTGGACCCAATTCCATCCATCCCTCCGTCGGATAATAGGCTAAAAGAAAACAAATATATTAACCCTGCGCATAGTGTCTTTAGAGTTTATAAAAACACTGGCTGGCTAAGTGTTAGTTCCGAGTGTGCGCAATTTCACTTAGTTATTAACGTTACAAGATTTTTCTTTTTTTTTTTTTCCTTAAAGACTTGTCTTTAAGCTAAGCTGTCAGCAGATCACTTGCAGGTGGAGGTGACGCCCCCCGTCCGAGTCACAGGGCCCTTTGAGGGCGGCGTTTTGCGGGATTGTAAAATGAGGTCCTTAAATCTGCATATCCCGTTAAAGCAGCTTTTAATTTTTTTTTTTTTTTTTTCTTTCTAAGTACATGCTCAGGTGTTAAACTGTTTTCGTATGGACATTGGCCTTTTATGTGGGTATACTGAAAATCGTGTCAGTGTTACTTGATGCTTGTGAGAAGGAACCTCACGCAGCTCTCACAGGTACCTTTTAGAACGGGCCGTTTTGCACAGAGTAAAAATGATGCACGCTGAACATTAATTTCTAAGGCTGTGCCTCCAGGTTAGATGTATTTTAAAGAGTCACTGTCAAACGTTAGGGGGGTTAATGTGTTTTTCTCAGAAAAAACATGCAGGGAACCCAACCTATTGTTACGAGCAGGAAGGCAATTCCAGCTCACCACTGACTGCAGTCTAATCATGTAGCAAATTAGGGGCGGGATTTTGATTTTTGCTAATGAGAGAAACTCTGGTGCACTAATTGCCTGAGGAAGCAGCGCTATTTGGTTCATTGTTTTGCTTCTCAAGGCTGGAATAAAGCACTAACTGGTGATACTGGGTGTGCGAGGAGCTGCCTCGGCATCGCTTTTCCAGTCCATAGTTTTCTCGTGATCTCGTGCTGCAGCCAGCAAGATCTATGCAAATGATTTCTGTCAGCCCTGGCTCATCAGAGATCAGTTCTTTTTTCCTAGAATAACAGGTAGGTCGGAACAATGATGAGAACAATGAAAGAGTAAAAACCATCAAATCCATGGGCATTGCGGAGAAATTTCCAGCTTTTTCTGATGAAGACATTCAGAATGTATGTAACAGTATTTTAATGATGATGATTATTATATTCCATTGACTTTATGTTGTGACAGACTTACCTTTTCCTTGTAGTCACTTGTTCGTTAGAGCAGTCAACATCATAAACTCCCCAGTGGGACTCGGTCATTTTTTTTTTCTCTGTTACTTGATTTTTTCCTTTTGGCTGAAACAAAATTTACGTCTGTGCTATGTAGGGTAGTTCTGTATCTTATTTTTATTTAACAAGTTACAAATACATGTTGATGCTAATCTCACTCCAGTCCGAAGATTTACATCTTGTAGGCTAGAAGAAGTGAAAGAAAAACTGTTCAGAAATGACTGAAACTGTTCAGTTACGCATCTTTTGGCTGTTTTATACGTTTATCTGTAAAAGGTTGGTATTAATGGGAAAAACTATCTTTTTTTTTTTTTTTATCATTTGCCATCATGTTTGTTGTCTGCTTTCTAATTTAACCTGTGTTTTGCAGGGCTCTAAGCTCTGTAGGCTGTGTGGAGACGGGGTGGCTGGCTGGGAGCAGGTGGAGGTGCCTGGGGGGGAGCAGCCTCCCGGACCTGCTGCATCCCTTCGCTCTGTCATTCTGAATCTGTCGAGGTTGATTTGTTTTGGGTTGTTTGGTTGTTGTTTTTTTTTTTTTTTGACTTTGATTTCTTTCCACTCACTTTGTACTTTTTTTTCTTTTATTAAATCTCACATGTATTTTGAGTTTTTTGTGGTGTTGTTTATTTAGTGGTGGATTTCCTTTGTTACCTAGTGCATCTCTGTTGAAATAATAACGTGGAACCATTGGAAGCTTACCAGCCACAGGATGGCTTCTGACTGCTGGGAACTTCAGAAATGAAATTAGCTCATTTCTACATCATACTCTTATGTGGAAAAGCACCTCATCCGTAACCTGGGGACAAATTCCAAGAGATTAATTCAAATGCCATCCCTATTTGGGCAAAAGTTACCTTTGAGCTTGTTGGCGCTTCCCCTCTGTGGGATCTGGTGGCCGAGCGAGGAGGTTTGCTGCCCGTTTGGCTGTTGTAATGATGCCCAAAGAGGTGATTTAAGGGTAGGATGAAAAGGGAGCAGAGATGGAGGGTGGTATTTTCCTAGTGGTACTTCCAAGGCTGTATGCTTCCGCTGCAGAAGCACATCATACACTTAGATCGGGGCCAAAAAAAGGGCACAGCTTTGATTTGGGGATCGTTTTTCAGAAAGAGCTGCTGCTGCAGCTTTACCTGAAGCTTTCCCTGTTCTTGGTGTCCGTTCTGTGGGGCATCGCTCCGTACAAAGTTACTTTCAGTTAATTTAGGGTCTGTGGGTTTTATCTGGTGTTGGACTGAGACCACTTAGGACAAAACCTTCAAGTGGCGTTGGGTCAACGCACAGCATTCGCTGAAGTGCCGTTTTCTGCAGCCCCGGTTTGAAGAACAAACCCAAGGGGGTGATCCTGGCTGCTTCTGAAATCTGTCTAGAGCCATGCAGACGGCCTCTGCTCTGGCTGCAGGGCTTGGCTCGTGTGTGAGACCTCCGCCTGCTGCATTTCCTGCGCAGTTTGCTAAAAGGCAGAGGGCAGGGCTCTCCTCTTAGGTGCTGCCTGTTTGCATCCCACCTTCTTCCAGGGTGGTTGCCCCGGCCATGCAGCGGTCCCGTGCTGTCCAGAGAGCTGAGCAGGGTGGGGCTGGAGCTGCTCTGGTCCTGCCTGTAGCAATCACCAACAACGTGCAGGTGAAAGTCGGAGCCGGCGCTGGGTTAGAGTTGTCGCTTGAGCCTGTTAAATTTTTGAAGGATAAGCCTTAGCGGGGACTTAGCAGTTGGTACCAAGTGGTTTGGATAAAATGTTTTACACCCTTTTCCATCCCAATCCTGTTGAAAGCCAACTCTTCTAGGAGACCAGAGAAGAGAAAGTGCATTCAGGTACATGAGAATTAATTGGGAAATTAAGGTGGTAGAGTAGCTGGTCATTTGAACAACGGGCCACCTGGCGATCACCTACACGGGCAAGTATTTTTCCACAGGAACAACATTAAGATTATTCATTAATACTCGTGTAAAGCTCCCCGAGATGCTTCCAAAAGAACAAGAAATGCAAAGCGTTGTTAGAAAAGCGGTTCAGCAGCGAGGTCTGTGCTTCGCAGCTCCAGAGCTGAAGCTCAGTGCCCAGACACATTGGTACTTTCTGTTCAGGAGAGCCCAGACCCAGCTTTTATTTCCTTGTCCGAGGCTGCTCGACAGAGAGAAAACCCTTCAGCTCGGGGCGGGGGAGCCTGCGAGGCCGGAGCAAAGCCGCCAGCTCGGGCCGCAGGTGCTGGTCAGTCCACACCTCTCCCTGTCCCCTGCCTCCGTAGCACGTGTCAGTGGTCTTTCCTCATTAAAATTTTAAATCAATCCTCTTAATTACCAGTTCCAAACAAGATCTTGGTGGCTGTGAGAGCTTCTCCGAGTTGCAGTGGTTTAAATGCAGGTGTTGTGCCCAGCCCCGCACGCTGTCAGGAGGCATCTGTTAGATTTGTCCTTTGACCTTTCATGCTGTCTTTAATTAATGTAAATAATTGAAGCTTAAATACTGATTCTCTTTTGTTCTTTCTGTAGCTTTTTTAGTCTTCCCACTGCGTGCTCCATAACATCAGGAAGACATGTTAATTAGAAGATTTATTAAGGCCAAAACATCTCATGCAGAAGAAATTAATTGGTGCTTTCACCTTTAAGCTTGCAATATATTGCCCAGAAGAGATTATGTAGCAAGGACTAAGATGCACCGTATCTTTTGATTGGGTTTGCTTGATCAGGTTTCTTGATAAAGTTGAAATTTAAGATACTTGCCAAAAGATAACTGGCTAATTCGGGCTGCTGCTAACCCCAGATCACTAATCCCTGGGCGAGAGCCTGACCAAAGCAGTTAACACTGACCCAGCTGCTGGGGGGACACGGGACTGAGCTGGCTTTGCACCAGGCCAGGTTCCAGTTTGCTGCCCGAGCTGCTGCTGGAAGGGGGTTTCCATCAGTCCTCTCCTCGGGCTGCTTTGGGGGGACCCTGGGGAAGTTCCTGACCTCCCTAACCTCCCCCCCCAGCCTCCCTAATTCCGCTGGACTCTCACGTTTCTTAGCAATAACTCTCCCGTGTAGCTTTTTTTCTGTAGACTGATGAGTTGTTTATAACCAAAATCCCTCAACTTAAATTTATTTAGTTTTCCTAGGGCTGCCCACACGTGCCTTACAACTAACCCCTGCCCCAGAGCTGCTCCGGGGACGGGTCACCCTGCCCGGCCTCCGGCACGTCCTGCTGGGATGCAGGGGGTGAGAAGGGGAAGGAGTTGAAAACGCAGCTGAATGGCAGATGTGAACGGAGGGGAAACGGTTTCAAGCGGGAGAGTCGGTGTTCCTGGCCGTGAGTTCTCTGTTTGTAACAGACTGACTTCCCCTTACACAAATACTTCTTCAAAACCCAAAACGTGTGATGTCTGTGCCCCAGTCTAACTTCACACAGGAACAGGGAGAGGCCCCCGTTTACCCTCCTTTTAAAACAACCTTGTAAACGAACTCAGGAATGACCTACTTGTACCAAAGTTGGGTTTAATAAAAACAAAACTGACTTGTTTAACAAGCATCTGTTAAAAACATGTTTTGTACATTAGTTACAGTCGCTGGAGCAGCAAAGTGCTGTGTCCGAATCCACAACCCTCGCTATTATTCCGGTTTCCCTCCATTAACCCCCTTACCCTGCGTATTTCTGTTTAAAGTGGGGCGGCCCCTGTGCACCCCATGTCTGGGGCGGCTGCCGGCAGCCTCCCTCCCCTTCCCCAAGCTGCTGCTTGCTGTGGGGCTGGGGGTGTAGGACCCCCAGGAGACCCCCAGAAGACCAGAAGGAAGGTCGCACCCCGTTGCCCTGCCTCGTGCTGGGTGGTGTGAGCGGGGCGTGTGGCGGGAGCCCAGCGAGGCTCCCACGGAGCGTGGCCGTGTCCCCGTCACCCCCCAGGCCTTGTGGAGCCGGAGAGGAGGGGGCAGAGGCACCGACTGAGCTCCTGTCCCCGGGGCCTGTGGTCCCCGACGGTCGCCGAAACCTCTGGCTGCCCTTGGCGTAAATTAGAACTTGGAAATAAATCTCAGCGAGTAACAGGTACGTGGCCTAAAACTACCCAGAGGGGGCCCACGGGGAGGTTCTGGGGACTCCTGCCCCTTGCAGGCAGTGGGGACTAAACCCCGGGCCCAGCAGGTCGGCCCCGCTCTGCACGTCCCCGCCTGTGCCGCTGCCGCCGGCTCCGCTGGGACGGGGAGAGGCAGCCAGGGACGGCGAGTCCGAGCCGGCAGCCGCTCGGGTCCGTGTCCACGGACCTGCCCCGCAGCAGACAGGAGGAAAGCTGAAGCCGTGCGCGACCGTCGGGCTGAGCTCAGCAACGAAACGCCCTTTGCTGCTGCCTTGATGACTTTTAAAACTTCCCTGTGTCCACTTCTGAGACAAACCAATCCGTTTCCTTTGGCAAAGCTCTATTTGTAATCTGGTTTGGAGCTATTCACAGAATCATCTCGGTTGGAAAAGACTTCGAAGATCATCTAGCCCAGCCATTAACCTATTTTCACGTTAGATTCCCATCTGGATAGGTGAATTGGGAATAAAAGCTTTTCTTTTTTTTTTTCAAAATTGCTCAGAGGACGTGATTAGGTTCTGTTTGCCATGACCATAGTTTGGTGGGATTCAGCTTGCACGCCTTGCTGAGGAAGAAGAGGGGGAGCTGCTGAGACCGCCCAGGAGTTAGTGCATCACTCGATCTGGGTGCACTTCTCTGCATTCTTAAAGAATGGAACTGTAAGTACTGTTCAACATGAATTTAAAACCTGAAAGCCAATTAGCAAAATATAAAAACCTCCCGGAGGCAGCCCCGGAGATGAGAGATAAAGGTTCTGTCTGTGTCTGAGGGCACGCGGTGTCTGGCTGCAGCCTGCTGCGTGCTCTGGAAGGGCTCTGCGCTCCGGGGCTGCCTGCTCGGAATTGCTGCCGCGCATTTCTCTGACACGGCAGCTCAGTTTGTCAGAAACCTGTAAAAGCAACTATTGCATTGCTCTTCCCTCTGCTCTTTTCTTGTATCTCCATCCATTCTCTGACTGCAGACGTGTCTTTTATTTGCACCGTGGTGTAAGTGAGCTCTCTAGGTGGCCACACGCCCGTGGCAAGGAGGGATCCCTCCTCGCACGCAGCGGTGCCGGGGTGACTTGCTGTGGCTGTGACACGTTTCCTTTGGGTGGTGGTTTATGAAGGGGGGGATGTGGTGGCCGTGGGGGGTGACTCTGGATCGTTTCGCTGGTTCTGTTGGCGATTTAAGGTTTGGTTTGTGTTTTGGTTCTGCTTCGGAATCTGAGCATCCGTGTGCAGCAGCAGTGGCGGCTGCCAGGAAGCTTCTGGAAGGACAGAACAGTCCGGTGGGTGGTTACGGGAGGGGATCCCAGGTGTAATTAACTGCTCTCTTTACACGGTGGTGTAACCTGAAGCGTGGCAGCAGCAGGAGGAGGCTGGGGCTGAGAGGTTGTGTCTCCCCTGCGCTGAGTCCTGGGGAGGGGACAAGGGACGGGCGGGTGCTGACCCAGACCCGCTGCTCGGCTGGGGCCGGAGCCGGGGTGGGGAGCAGCGGGCAGGGCGGCCTCCCCTCCCAGGTCAAGATGAGGCACCCTAGGAGCTCTGAAAATACTCAGTAAATGTCTTCTGGAGTTTGACAGGGACTGAATATTCCCCCAGAACAGCAACCCTCACCAAACGAGCCCTGGACACAGCAGCTCTGTGCCAGCACTCGCTGACGTTCGCACCAGTAGCAAACTGGTTACGGGCTCCTCGGGGGGAGTTGGGCTGCAGGTGGAACAGACTTGTGTCCGTACACGCGGGCTGGGCACGATCCAACCCACGAGACTGTCCTCGTCTCTGAAAGGCAGCCGGGCAAAGGGCCGTTCCGTTGGTGCTGTCCCCTGGGCGGTTCCGCGGTCACTCCATACGGTCCAGAGGCACCGGCAGCCCCCGGCTCCCTTCGGCCGCTCACGGCGGGGTTTGTGCTGCCTGAGAGGCTCCTTCGGCCCTTGTTGCTCCAGCAGCTCCTTCCTGGAGTTTGCAGCTTGTTCCTTAGGGCGGGAAGCTCCGTTCTGAAGGACAACGGGAGCGCAAAGTGGTGGGTTTTAACCTGCTGAGGCCAAGCCCGGAGTGTTTGGCCCTTCGTGGGAAAGGGCAGGAGGGACCGGGGGAGCGGGTGGGCTCCAGCTTACTGCTCCCATCCCAGTACGGCACCGTGTGGCCCCACTGGGAACACAGGACCCCGCTGGGCCTTTGGGCAGCGCTGACTTCATCTTTTAGCATTAACCCCCGTTAGCGCAGATTTTGGGTCGTATAGATCTGCAGAGGGTTTGAAGAGCAGGTTTGTTCGTGGTTTTTTAACGTGCCATCCCGCTTACGGGCAAGAGCTGTACGTTGGCTCAAAACTGGGGGAAAAAGCACGAGCTATGGTTGTGGTATAAAGTTACAGCACGTTCATTACAATGCGTAGAATTTTTTTGCTACCATTTCCACTGGTTAATGCAGCCGGGGGAGATGCTTGAGACAGGGCAAAGGGGTGGGAGGGAAAGCAGAACCAGACCCTGCCCCGGCCTCCTGCAAGGCCCCGAGTGGGCACCAGCTTCTGGCTGGACTCTGCAAGGAGCCCGCCGAGAGCGCGCAGACCGAGCTTACGTTTTGTTTAATGAAAACTACAAAAGACAACTTGTCTCCTGCAGAAGTCAGGCGGTCAAGTCACAGCTTGTGCTAGAAAAGGAAGGTGCTGCACTGCGGGGAGGGAAGAGCCCTACCATGAAATGAAAACCTTCCCTGGGGTAGGGTGGGTGAATAAATAACACCCCGAAGGTTTAGGGGCACCTCGGAAACCTCCCTGGGTCCAAACCTTGCGGCAGCCCTCGCCCGGGGCAGAGGCTCAGGTCTGCTCACACGTCTCACCCGCACCAAGTCTCTGGTACTAAATGTTTTTTTTCTGGCACGCTTTGGCGCTGCTTTCTCTGGGGGTTCAGATGAAAAGTGTGGCTTCCTCCCTGCACGCACCCAGAGCTCGCTCCCCCCTCGCTGCCGCTTCTGGGAAGTGGTGTGGCTCAGGACACTCGTCCTGCACAGTTGGACGTTCCTGTGCTGCGACACCGCTTGCAGGTGGTGTCCACCCTGTACTGCCCGGGTACCTTCACGCGGGGACAGCAATCACTGGAAAAAGCTGTTTAAAACAAACCCCAAAAAACCTAAGACAACATTTATTTTAAAAGCGCGCATTAAGGCTGTTGTTTTTTTTTAAAGCGCAGTAAAGGTTTAAACTGACCTCTGTAGTCTGTAAAACCACTTTGCGATGGAGATTAGCAGTTCACAAAAACTAATGGGGGTGTGTGGGGGGGATTAATTAAAGGCATTTTGTATTGTCCAGTCTGGCAAAACAGAATAAATTTTTTAAAAAATCCCTGAATGACACACAGGCCCAAAGCAACGGTGACTGTGGGCAAGAAGCAATTTCCCACAGCTTGTAGGAACTGGGATTTAATGGTTTAAGCAGGAAGGAGCACAGACCTCGGAGCCTGGCTTCCAGGGTAAGGCCTTACGAAAAACTGGAGGTTTTTCTCAAAACTGGAAGCAGGAGCTCCCCCTCCCTGGAGGGCAGCTCCTGGTCACTCCCGCGGGGCAGCTCAGGGTAGCTCCAAGGGGAGACCAGTGGGGTGAGCCGGGTGAAAGGCTCGATCTGACACACTGTCACGGCTGTTTGAAAGTTGTGCAGTTCATAACCTTCCGCCAACTTGAGCCCCGAGTTAGAGGGTTGTGACCAAGTCCCTCCTCTCCCCAGCTTTCTGTATTTAAAATGTTAAAAACCAAGGCGTAGCACACGCTGCTTAGGAAGGACATTAAAAAATAGAAAGATAATACCGATTTGTCATTATCCTCTGAAAAACACAGCAGCACTTTTGCTCTGGTGCCGGCTGCTCTGCTCACTGGGACCTACTGGTTCTGCAGTTGCCACTTCGGAGGCAGTAGCTCCCCACTAGTCCCTCTCGGGTGGCTGTAAGGGGGGACATGAGGAGCTGCCCCCCGCCTCCAGCCTCCCGCCGCTCGCTCCCCCGTCCTCGCTGTGGAGGTGTCTGAATCCATCGTAGCATCCATCCGTCTCCGTGGTGTCGCGGGGAGTTGGGGCTGTGGGTGTGAAAGGTGCTGGTGGGTTTACCGAGCCCCTCAGCCTCGCTTGGTGGAAATCCTTTGACCCAGAGGGGCTGTGCTGGGGTGGCCTTGCCTCGGGACGGCCTGGGATGGCTTCACTGCCGGGATGGAAAATATAAACAGCATTGGATAGCTGCAGGCGCGTTAGCTCTTCACCCACAAGCTCTCTGCAGTGGATGAATTCGGTGCTGTTAACCTGTAAGGAGAGATGTAGATTTTTTTTCTAAGTTCATAATAAATTACTCTCTCTTGTGGCCACTGCTTGTGTAACTTTGTCATTAGGGCAGGGCCAGGCTGGGCTGGCTGCCTCAAGAGACACGGCTATGGTGGCCCTGGCCAGAACACGTAACCACGAGCTCCTGAACTGCCACCCAAATAGAAAGGGAATACCCATTTGTCACTATCTGCTGAGAAAACGCAGCAGCACTTTTGCTCTGGTGTTGGCAAGCGTGCCCTCTCTTTAGGGGGTGACAACAGGGGGGCACAGGTTTTTTCAAAATTTATTTCAAAGTAGGTTATTTCAAAATCTAGACCCACAAAATGGGTCGACGGTAAGCTGACAGCCAGGGTGTTCAGCCTTCTAGGTATAATCTCTTAAAAGGCATGTGTGTTATGAAGCTGGAGAAAAGCTTTAAAAAAAACAAACCAAAACAAAACAAACAGCTTGCCTTTAATGTGTATCTACAGAAGCCAAACGTTATATTTTAACAGCAAGGTAACTGTACTTGGTTGGAAGGTCTGGCAGCCTTCGGTGGGCGGCTGGGGACACAGTGGGCAGGTTTTTAGGTGCTCTCAGAGACTTCTGTGCCAAAGGCAAAGCCCTCCCCAGCCCCTCGCTGCGGCTTTGTTCCCTCTTCCCTCAGCACTAGCAAGGCCCGCGGTGGCAGCGGAACGCGCGCGCACGCTCCTCGGCTGTAAACACAACGTGTGTTTTATCCGGTATCGGCGTCCCCGCCTCAGGATTTGGGAGCAAAGGCCGTTTTGATTCCTACCTGTGCTTTTTTTAGCAGATCGGTGATAACAGGAAACCACTCAGGAGTCAGCCTCTCCAGCTCCAAGGTGATGATCACCAAAGCCAACGTGGAGCCCCTGAACTGCACTAGCTGGTGGCACGCCATCCAGTGCTGCAGCTGCCTCGTCAAGAGCGCGACGTGGCGGGAAGGGTTCGTCTGAGGCAGCCCGGGGAGCAGATGGGGCCAGCTGGACATCACCGTGGCGTGGAACTGGAGAGAAGACGAAGTATATATATATTTAAACAACAACAACAAAAAAACCCAACCCAACCAAGCGCAGAGGTCAGTGAACTTTGTATGTTTTCATGTTATCAGCCAGAAGTACAGACTAATTTCATCTCATATCAGGAAGCCTAAAGGGGTTCCCCCCCCCTCCTTTTTTTTCTTTTTTTTTTTTGTGTTTTGTGTTTGTACTTGCCAATCACTGAACTGTTTGGGGTTTTTTTTGAGCTTATAATGAATGTACAAGGTCTGTGTTTCCTAACAACTTCTGAAGTTCCTACGTTATCCAGATTGCTATCCAGGAGATTCAGTTCAGGCCAGCAGATAGAGTAAAACCAAGAGTAATGACTGCACTCCGAATTTACTGAGGAAACAAGCACCTACAAAAGGCAGTTTTCACAATCAGCAGCCTAAGATGGCTTAATATTTGCACATAACCTTAAAAAAGGGATCCAGGATGTGTTCGTATCACATGATTTTTGCCTTACTAGCACATGATCGTTTCTTGAAGACAAAGTTTTAATTGTTTCTAATAAATGTTTAGTAACTGCAATGTGAACTAAGTGCCAGATCGGGGTAGTCTCATTGCCTAAACCAAGGGTGAGTAATTATTGGGATAAAAAGGAAAAAGGTTTAAGGAAAAAAAAACCTGTGTGTGAAATGTAGCAAAACTCTGACAGCTTTCTATGTACAGTATTAATAGAATGGAAATAGCTAGAAATATTTTTGCAGTGTGTATTTAAAGAAATAAAAATGGCGTATAGTTGTGCATTATGAGAATCTTTTTAATGTCCATTTTAGTTGCCCTTTAAAGATGGGAGTAAACTTTTTGAGCAAAATGAGAGGTTTTAAATAGTAGAAAATTTTAAAAAATAGATTTAAAAAAAGTCACCGTACCATTCTTCAACAGACTTGCAGATAGCTAAGAACAGGGAGTTCGCAAAGCATCTGAGGAAGGATGTGTGGGGGTGTGTATGTGTGCGCAGCTTTTTCTAGTCTTATTTGATAAGGAGCTGTTTCTTTAAAGCAAAAAATTTTGCCAAACTCAGCGCTTACGATGTTTAAGAAATCCATTGGTGTTGCTGTGTAAAGATCCCAGTGAAGCCTATCTAGTATAATTCTTTCCATTCTCAAGATCTCAGCTGAAGAGCGTTTACAACCACTCCGTACTGCGAGCGTCTTCACCGATGGTATTACCTGTAAAAAAAAAAAAAAAAATTAAAAAAAATAAAAATAAGCCAACGTCCTATGCAGCGCTGTGTGTGTCTCTGTACTGCGATCTGACGAGGTCACCCACGTCCCAAAGAGGTGCAGAAGGCTCTTTCAGTCTCCCAGGTGACTCCCACCCTCCGTGCGGACTGGCCCACGCTGGCCACGGGGCGACCCCTGGCAGCCCCTGGCAAGGACGAGGCCGGTCACCTCCCGGGTCGCCACGAGCCGCCTCACCACGCCACCTCGGCGACGCACGTTCCCTGCTACCAGACTCGTTAGTTTTGCTGCCCTAGCTAGGAGGAGGCTTCCTGCTGGCCTGTTTCACAGGGCCCTGTGGTTGTCTTGTTTCCTGTGATCACTGACTCAGCTTCTCCTCTTTAGCTGAGAGGAGAGGAAGAACCTCAGCGTGACGCATCCTAAGACAGGCTCCCACGAGCGTTTCGCCACAGCAGAGCTTGCTCGAAGGGACGCGCGGGTCTGACTCCAGCTCCCGGGCTTCCCGTTCTTTTTCAAAACAGAATGAAGGAAGAAGGAGAAACTCAACCCGAAACGCTTTTGGCTCATGTTTGTAAATGGCTGAAGAAGTCTGTCAGGGCCCTTCTGCCGGGAGAGGCGGCCCTGTGTGATCTCACACTGGCGGGGGTAGCTGCCGATCCTACGTGCTCACCTTGAGGTGCAGACCTGAGTCATTTCCTCCCCAGGGTCAGAAACCAGTTCTGACTCCAAGCATCTGTTTTAAGCTTCGTCTGAAGAACCTCCACTCTGCCTCACCTACGTCACCCTCCCCGGGCCTGTCACAACGGAATCACAGCACTGATGTTGTGTGCACAAAGCTGGGCACGGCCCCCAGCCCAAGCTTCACTGTGGATTCTGAAGAGGGGAGAGAGATTTAAGGGCAGGAGGAGGGCAAGGCGTCCATTACAGAAGCAAACACAAGTCCCTCATCCATAAAGGTCACGATTCTTGTGATTCTTCATCACAAACAGTGATGAAATAGGACTGAAAATGTGACTGTCGCCCCTTACGGACTGCTTGGGGTAAACAAGCTCCTGGTTATGCCCAAGCTGTCAGGACCTGGAAACACCGACAACCTGAAGAGGAGAGATGAGTTCAGGGTGTTTAAAATGCAACATACAGACCTCATCTTCTTCGTTGGTTTTTGCTGCAAGGACCAGGCAGGAAATCGCTATGCACTGAAGGTATTTTAATTGGGCCTGAAGGGAGAAGGAGAAGAAAACACTGAGCAAAGACGGTAACAGTCTTGGGGGAGACAATTTGTCATTCTAGCACAGATACACAACTTTCAAACCGTAAGTTACAGTTGTTTCAGAGTTAGTTTAGCTGCAGGTTCATTAGAAGCTGGAAACAAAGCAAGGAAAGCCAAAGTGAAACAAAATAAATAAATATTCTTCTCGGTGCAACTTTTATTCCCGTACCCCACAATTTTCAGCCATGCAATGCCACAGTATTTACGATGCAACGTTATCCCCTTCTCAGCTATTAATTAAATACGTTTTTGCCACATGCCAGTACTGATCTAAACAGGATTGAGAGCTGCAAGGCTCAGTTCAACTCATAACTTCGCTGTTGCTTCAGTGTCAGAAAAAGTCGGCCCCAAGGTTTGGTTAAAAATAGCAGTTTCAAAACCAAAATATTAAAAGTGAAAATGCAGATGTTTTCTGTTTAGCAGAGACAACCAGATGATAACGAGTTCTTTGGACTGATCACAGCATCTGGAATACAATTCACTCGGACACTTCTCCTGAGGACTGTAAAGCAGTGGAACCTCATCAAACCCTCAGGTTCATACGTATTAAAGTATAATATATATACTTAAAAGTCTTTCCAGGCAAAGACCCCGATTGCTCCCTAAATCTGCTGCCAAACGTAGTCCTGCTTTGTGTATAAACTGATTACCCACTCCTGACATCCCCAGTCAGTAACCTAGCCAGGAAAGAGCTGACAGAGATTCTCTACCTTGACTGATGCCAATAACCGGTTAAAGATGCTGGTAGCTAAGGCAAATGTTTCAGGGTAAAACTGGAACTGAGAGCTTATTTCTGCAATCCAGAGAACCGCTTTCTTGTAGCATGACAAAGGGATATCTGTGCCCTGAGGGGAAGAAAAAAGAAGAAAAATACAGTTAGTGCTTTGATGATTTTCCTTAATGTATCTCCAAAGGAAGACTCAAATCACTCTAAGTGCTGTAATTAACATTTCTGATGTCTGCAGGCTTGAAATGGAGAAAGTTGTTGGCTGTGTCTACAGAGTGAGGGCAAGGAGAAATTTCGGGGCAGTTTAAGGCCACCCAGTCGGGCTCCAGCTGTGCCTCCAAGGGCCTGGGACTGGACTGGACTGGACTGGAGCGGGGAGCGGGGAGCAGCCAGCCCTCCGCTCGCACAGCGAGGGAACCCCTGACCCCAGCTCTGGCAGCCAAGGTGCTGACTCTGCTCGTTATTTCCCCCCTCCCGAGGAGACTGACCCACGTTTCATTCAGCCTCGACAGGGAGAGAGAACCTGGTGTCAGGAGGAGGTTTTGTTTTACTCTTCGTCAAGGGTTTTTTTAACAGCCTTGAATGCGCTTGGTGGCGGGACCACAGAAGGCAGGTTTAGGACTCCCCCAAGGCAAAATGTACTCAGGTTTTTCTTTCTTCTGTCTTATTTGAAGATGCATTCAGGTGAGAGGAAGGAGTTTACTCTGGCTCCCCACGACCCACGGCACGTATTGGAGCGTTATTGTAGAACTGAAAGGGCTGAGCAGCTACGCAGAACAAACACTCCACCAATTCATTTAATGTTACTCAACACCTTATCCAGTTTCACTATTTTGTTTCATTCGGTAGTAAAAAGACTTGGTAAAAAACAGCATTTCTACACTACTGCAAAAAAAGAGAAGACTGGCAGGGCACTTCTGTGCATTTTTCCCTGGGTTTGAGGCACTTCCCAGAAGTTTCCATTGTACACAGAGGCCGTTCAGCGTTGTAGCTTCCTGAGGTAGCTAAGGACTGACTCAAACAGCGCTGGGTTTCTGTTAGGCCTCAGTGAATTCCCTCTTCTCCCACCTGAATAGATGGGATTCAAAGATGGTGTCGAGCACAATTAGCTCTAACATGATATATTTATGGCTTTACAGCAATTGTCTGCTCTTAGCAGCTCCGCCGCGTTTCCCAGAACTACTGGAGTGAGGACAAAATGGAAAGCACCTGGTTTACACGGGGCATTAGCAGGATGTGAGATGGGGCAAATACAGACCCTCCTCCCCCTCCATTCCTTAAGCTCAGTCCGTGGGGGGGTGACTCCTGCATTCAGGGGGGATTAAGTGGCAGGAGCAGCATGGCATTTCTGCCGAGTCCCTTAGGGGCTTCCAGAGAGGGGAGGGGAGCGTACCTTCAGGGTGAGATTCTGGAAAACTGGCACTTTCCAAATCCTAGCCTCCCTGGCCAAGGCATTTTCCAGGCAGAAGGCAAGTCTTGAGCTCTCTGGAGGTCCAGGGTGCTTCATGGCAACACTCTGAGACAGTTTTCCTGATGGGAACCGCTGTCAAAACCAAGAAAAGAATTACAAAGCAACGTCCCAGCTCCTTGTGCTAAGTACGATTTCCTCTGGCGAGGCCTTTCCAACGCTGAGAACGAAGTCAGGAGCAGCCGTGCGACTTGTTTGTTTGCAGACAGAGTGATCCTGTCACCCATTTTCCCCGAGGAGAAGCTCATGATGAAAGCAAACATGTCAGATGGCTGAACAACTCTGCAGTCCGGCTTTTTTCCTCCGGGGCTGGGTAAAAGCTTTCTTGAGCAACCTTGGGGGAGCGCTGTGGATGACTGCCCCGTACCCTGTTTCACACGTGCAGCTCTCCGTGTGCTGAGCTATGGAGCTGCAACCTGTTATCACCCGACTTTAAGTTTCTGGCAGCTAGAGGTCTATTGATTTTGTACAGAAGCTCAAAGATGACTTTCTTAGGAGTTTTATTAATTCCCAGTTAACAGTTTTCCTTAAAAGGAAGCAGGCAAGCAACAGCAAGGCTTTGGAAATACCCCTCTCCGGGCTAAGCACGTATTTACATCCAATAAACATCTCAATAATAGAAGATCCAAGCAGTGAGAACATCTCAGCCTGACACTGAGCATTTCAATGCTTACATTTTGGTGTCCCTCTAACAGCAGAAGGAATATGTTCCTAGATAGAAAAGTTCTGCTTTCCTTTGCAGAGTGGTGGATGTGGGCTTCCTCGTCAGTGTTTTCTGGAAGCTTGACACCATTATCTCTACAGCTCCATTAAAAACCCCAAAGCGCCCTGAATCCGCTGGAAACTGTTCTACGTTTCTAAAGCTGAAACTCTGGGATGTTTCGCTGAAAGCAGGAACCGCACATGACTTTGGCTTCTGCTGCCGCTGGATGTCAGAGCATCCAAACCAGACCGCCCGGACCATTGCAGCAGGGGGAAAGCTGGGAAGGATTTATCTGTCCGGTTTGATGCACAGAAAAGTTTATCCCTGTGTAGCTAGGGAGGGGCAGGACGGGGGGGGGAAGAAGAATTAATTCAAAACTCACCCTCCGGCTAATTTGACCGCGGCTGTCACTGAGAACGACACCGCGCAGGTTCCGCACCGCCAACGCCCGGACTTGCCCTCCCGGTCCCGCGGAGCGCCCGGGGACCGCGGGGAGCCCCGGCAAGAGCCGCGGAACCGTCCTT